AACGGTTTAAGCTCAAATAAACTTTTGAAGCCAGACACCAATGATAAAGATTTTTGTCTAAAAAAAAACATTTTTTTAAAAAAAAAGCCCAATTACGAGATGAATTAATAAATACTATGGATGTGCGAGTACAAACTTTTTAAAAAAAACCTTTATGGAATAAAAATAAAATTGAACGAATATAATATACTAACGTACCATACATACTATGAGTTAGAAAGAAATGTTAAAGATTCGTTTCAGGATTTTATGCTATTATTTATTTATCATTATGAGCCGTTAATATTAAAAGGTTTTTCAATAGCAAATATTATTGGATAATATTAATATATTAATTATTTAATTGAAGGATGAATTGTTTCAAGTTGTGATTTATTGATTTCCAATAGAGCTACCATCAGCAAAAAACAGTATCACATTCTTTACCAGCTTCATTTAACACTTACTGGTTCTTCTTGATCGTTGTGATCACTTTTGAAATAAGTCCATGTCCAATTACGTTTTTGTCTGTTTGGTCTTAAATGATGGTGATTGTTTATTTGAAGACAAACTAGCCATGTTTCTCAGTGAAAAAAGACGCCAGTTTTCTTGAAAGGATTGAAAGATTGCGTAAATCTTTTTATGTGATTGCTGTATGACTTCCTAATTTGGTAAATTTTTATGTATTGACAGCTGCTGCGCACAACTTTAGTATTTATTAGTACTTGTATATAATATTTGACAGGACCCGCAATCTTCATAGACAGGGTTTGATCCGGACCAAAATTAAGTTTAATATTAATGTATAACTTGACAGGACCCCGCAAACTTCATAGATAAGTTGCTGCAGCAGACGGCACTACGATAAAATTGTTAAATTAGTGGAACGTAACATAACATAAAAATCATCATAATCTTTTGAGTATGAACTATGAACTATCTATTATTAACTAGTACATTTCAGAGCCTTGCTCATAAGAACAGAGGCAGAAATTGTTAATTCATTCATTTCTGTAACACGAATTAATTCTTTAATAAAAACACTTTGTAGTCGGAAATCAAACATTAGAGTTTAATTGTCCATTTTGTTATCAGAGTGGTGTAGAACTAGAGTTTCTATTCGTGATACAAATTCTTATTCGTTTTATTCGAACAAACTTTCAATGTAATTAATAAAACAAATAATTGAATAAAACCCTATTCGAATAGAAACTCTATATGGAATTCTGAGGTTTTGTAAACTCGGGTTTGATTATTTGCTTTGGTAGAAAGCAAAGTTTTAATTTTTGGTTTTTGCTAAGCGTAAACCTTTTTGTGTAAACATAATGTGTTAAGATTGTTCGGCCAGATATAAAATGCTAACATTTATTAACCAAAGTCGTTATCGCATATCACTTTGTTGTATTGTGTTAAAGTATTTTGAAAACGTACTGCTGAATTTAATCAGTCAAAGAAAAGTAAATAAACAGGAAACTTCACTAAAGCATTTGTTGCTTTATAATAAAGCTATATTTTATTTGTTGTTAATTATACCATAAAATTAAGTATTGCTTACAGATTTGCCGAAGCTTTCTAGGTACAAGAAAGAGGCAGTAAATTCATAATACAAGTTAATTGATGAGTATTGCATGCGATTAATTGATGAGTGCAGTTCAAAGGTTAATGGTAGTTATATGGCCATTTAATTGATGATTATATCTGGTCTATATTATGACATTACAATCTAATTATGACATTACGACCTAATCACGCCATTACGGCTTTTGATTAAGGCTATCACTCAGATGCCGTAATATTAATACATTCACAAATCAATTTGGGTCGCATGTATAGTTTCAAATTATACCTGCAGTGCTAGATTCTGCTGGAGTTTCTATTCTTTGCATTTGGTCAATAACTAGTTGTGTTATTTTCCAATCATTACTTTTTAGTTAAATTAATTCCAATAAGTATATTTATTCGTTGTACAGCTCACTCTCTCTATAACGACCACTAAGTAAAATTTCTCTATAACGAACTTCCCTGTTTCAATTTTTTATAATTTCTTTCTCTATAACGACCAAAAGCAGAGAAATTACATATAGGGGCAGAGGGTTCGTTATAGAGAGAGTGAACTGTAATCGGAAAAAATTTTTTTTTGCTGGTTGGTTTTATCTTTGGACTAATAAAAGTTAATTTCTCTGCTAAATTTGGAATTTGTCATCCAAAATCCTACACCCGATTCCTGTACCATAACTACTTCTATTATTATCTTTTTATTTATCTAATCATCAAGTAAGTGAAATGCTTGTTTTGAATTTCTAATTGTTCTATTGCTATTAAAATTTTCCTCATAAATTTTAAGTTTGTTCAATTTCCTGTCAATTATTTTTTTATTTTTCAATTGGAGAAAAATTCTGATTATATCATCTCTTACAATGTCATTATCATCTAATTCCTCAAGAGGTCCTGCGCCATAATAGATAACAATTTATCAAATATTTATTGGCCTTCATTATTTTATAAGATTTTTTTGTCAAATAAGTATATTATGGAATGAGTAGCTTTAATTAGAAAATGAATTGGTGCTTACTATAGAATGAGTTGGTGTTTACTGTGGAGGATGTTACGTTTATTTTGAAATGAGTTAAGTTTTTTGAAGAAATTTGCAAATTATTATTAAGAAATTTTACTTAAAATACTTTCAAATAGTAATGGTAAATGGAAATATTTCGATTAATTGCTATTCGCATAATCAATTTCTTTATTTATATCAAAGGAATAGCCATTCTTAAATTTATCAAGTGTGAAACTAGTTTTAAAAATTAATATATTAATTTCCTTTGCTTTGGGTTCAAGTGTTTTTTAATATTTAACATTTATATATATAAATTAAAATCTATGTATTTTCTCTCAGTTGAATCAAAAATAAATAAATATTACTTGTTGTTATTTACTCCTTTCCTTGGATATGAATCTTTGACCCTGTTTTATCATGATGATTATGCAATGCATTTAATGTAATAAATACTTGATTGCCCGAGTAATAAATAATACTATGACCATGTGGGATAATGGTTCCATCCAAAGTGTCGTGGAAAATTTTACTGGCTGAGCCTCTGCTTGGTTCTCTTCATTTTGTGTGTGTGGATGCTTCTCGATTGTATATAATTGCAAGTCAAAGTTCCTTAAATCATTTTCAAAAAAAAATATCTGATATTGATCATAGACAGGTTGGCATTGGGCAGCAATCCTGGTCATCTATCCAATATGTTCAATGTGTGTGTATTGTGACTTTGTGTTACTGATGATGTTGAGTTGGTGATGAATTTGGTTGGAATGATTGATTATTATTTTTGAGTTGATGATTGAGATGGCAGAGTTGAAGTCGCTTGATGAAGGTTGTAATAGTTTGTGATGTTGATTTTGGCCATACACTTAATATTACGTGTGAGCATACAGGATGGTGGATTTGACTCTACAGGTGCATCATTTGTATCATCGAGAGAACTTTGGTCAGACTTAGCCTAATGTACGCAAGGAAGATGAGAATGACTGATGCTATAAATATTTGAGTTGGAGCAATAATACACTTCAACATCTGTAAATAAATTTTCAATAATCAAATAGATCGATTTTTTTTGTGATTCCAGATTGTCCAAGAACAGTTTTCAATATGAGAGCGAGAGAGAGATCTTCAACAGCCATGTTGCCTTTTTTACCTTTGATCAATTATTTATTAATAACGAGCACACAAACAAACATACTAATCGTTTGCTTACATCATGATATAATTATCTATACAATCAACATTTCACTTGCTATATACCAAGATATCAATACAAAAAAAGAATAAATCTCTTTGGCCATCAATAAACCTATTTTATTAATGAATGTCTTGATCTCGCATTCCAAAAAAAAAGGTTTTTGTGCAACACTTACTATACTCCTTTAAATATTTTTCATACTTTGTGTTCATCTTTTTCCCAAAATGAGTAACAAACGAGAATCGAACAAAGAATAGACAAAGCATGAGTAAGTATTTATCAGAACCATAAAATTTTGTTTGAGCTCTAGTTAGAAGAGGAAAAAATGCTTGAAATAATTAAGAGATTTTTCTGGTTTAGATCTAATTTGTCCTCTCTTCACTAATTAATAATAGTAATATCGGTTTCGAATGAAACAAATCAAACAACTTATAATAAGTTATTTGAATTATTATCATCTGACATCTGTATGTAGGAAAACTATAGAAAATTTGGTGCATCATCGCCCTTTAAAATTTACCAATCGAGACCTATAATGCATCAAATGTTGTTCATTACAAATTCACCTGGCCAAAGCTCTTTCAACATTAAATTTCCAATAACACGGGGTCAAACTGAGGCATTATCATGTTTGATAGGATGTGGTGCTAATCTTAAGCTGAAAAATGAACGATGGGTATTAAAACCATTATAAATGGATAGTATGATTGGTTCTTATTTCATGACTGTTTATCATCTACTAAGATATGATACGAAAGAGAAATTGTAGAGGGTAACTGACAGCAGTTTTAAAGTCTGATTGGATACCTTTTAGATAACTAGTTAGCATTTAATTTTATTATTGATAAATGGGTTGGGGTTTTGATGTTGATGTTATTATTATTAATCTTTCGTAATTTATATAACTGATTATAAATAAATTAAATTAATTAAAAACAAAATTTTTTTTGATTGAATAATGTATCCACAGCATGAAACGAACTATACGAATATAACATTCATAAGTCGTGATTAAAATGGACTTTTCATAATTTAAGCAATCAAGAAAACGAGATAAACTTATAAAATGTACTTTAAAGTGAATCTCGGTGTTGTAATGCTAAATTTATTTTTGAATGTCAAAAGATTATCACAAAAAAATTTTTCATCTTTTTTATAATAAGAATGATTACGTGATATATTTGTATTACATACATTGAATTCGTGTAACATAATTGTTTGTTTATTTTCATGTGTAAAGTCGCGATCTAATGTTTGAGAGAGAAGAAAAAAAAAATGATATTTAAAGGTTTAGAAAGTTTAGAAAATATTGTCCAGACCACTTCAAAAATAGCTTCATTAAATTTTTCAAGAAATGATGAATATGTGAATACACTATTTTCAAGACCTGAAAAAGGAAAACAAATAGTTCGTGAAGCTACACCTCATGAAACAAAACTTTATCAAGTAATAACTTCTTCCATTGAACCTTTTAAAAGGTAAAGAAGACCTTCTGTAATATACATGTGTATGCATGTGTGTGTGAATTTATATAAATTTATATAAATATATATATATATATAATATATTACTTTAGTGAAGAATTAAATCAGATTTCATGTCATGATAAAGTTACTCCTAAAACAATTGATAATTTACTTGGAGAAGCCAATTCATTGCTTATGCTGTGGTATTGTTTTTGTTAATTTTATTTTATATATATTTTATAAATAAGAAATTTAAATAAAATTTTTTCCTAGTGATATTCCACATGCTGATGATACAATCAAATCTTTGGCACAAAGATATGAAGATATAACTTCATCAATAGATAGTCTAGAAACTATAATTAAAAAAGCATGTGTGAACTTTATTATTTTTATTGTTGTTGTTATATTATTCCTAATATTTATTATGATTTTTTTAATATAGCAAGAAAAAAGAATGGAAAGGTATGAAATAGCAGAACAAATAAAAATGACAAACCCATTTGATGTTGATGAATATGGATATAATCATAATGATAAAACAACTGATAATATTGTGAATGATAATAATTCTTATAATAAAAAAATCATGCAAGAGATTAAAAAAGAAGAATTAGAAATCCTTGAATTGGAAAAGATAAAAAATGATTATATTAAAAAGGTTTCTATTTTATTTTATTTAATATGTGGTTTACTAAAGAAACATACAATATTTACATTTATATTATTATTATTGTTATTATATAGATTGATTCTGTGACAGATGAAATAAATACTCACAGACAATTGGAATTTGAAGTGATGAAATTTCTGGATGAGCATCATCATTTATCAATGTTAAATATTGATATTAATATTATCAAGTAAGTTTATATTCATAATGATGATGATGATGATAATAATAATAATAATAATAATAATAATAATAATAATAATTCTTTATTCTATTAAAAATTTTACATTTTTTAGTGAGATTAATAAAATTTTAGTAAATAGTATTGCATCATCATCATCATCATCAGAGGATTATTTATCAATACCTAATCCATCACAACAAATAGTTCTTGCAGCATTTGCATTAAAAATTATACACGATGCAGGAGGAGAAATATCACTTGCGGAACTTAAAGAAAAAATCATGAATGCTGTAAAAGAAAACTATTTATTACAACAAGCAAATAATAATAATAATAATAACAATAACCAGAATTTTCAAATTCTTTATGTTTTAGTAGCAAAGTGCTTAATTGATATTGATAGATCTAATGCAAATAATATTGTTAGATCTCAATTATTTTATTGAAAAATAAATGAACATAAAATAATAATTGGTTGGTTGGTTGGTTGATTGAAAAATAAGGAATTTCACTATTATATCATTAATATTAATCCTAACCGTTAGATAACATTAAAATAATAACAATAGAAATAATAAAATATAGATTAATCAAAATTGATGTGTGTGTGTGTATATATATATATATGTGTGACCTTAAATATTTGCAGATGGACAAAAATTTTTCACAGGACATTTTGAACATATTGGATTTCTTGGTAAACAAGTAGTTTGACCAAACCCGACAAGCAATAAATTAATTTCTTGCCATAATGAGTGTGGAAGCCATGTTTCCAATGATTTTCTAGTAGCCTCAGGACCAGCTTTCTCACTATTACTCCAACCTAATCTGTTTGAGATACGATGAACATGAACATCGACTCCTATACCTTGATTTCTATTAACAACATCATCAATAAACAAATAGAATATTATAATAATAAATAATAATATTCATATTCAAAAATAAAATGATGATGATAGTTAAACTCACTGATCCCATGCTGTATGCATGCAAAGATATGCCTATTAATTACAAAAAATTTTTTTATAAAAAAAAATTATATAATAATAAAAAAAGAGTAATAAATTGTGAATATTTTTAAACCATCTTGGGTCCAACTCCAGGTAAATCTAGTAAACCTTCAATTGTATCTGGAATATCACCTCCATATTTTTCTTTACAAATTTTTGCAGTTTGTTTAATGTAACTATTATATATGCGTGTGTGTGTGTATGTGTGTGTGTATTATTTGGTAAATACATATAATAAAAATAAGAAACAGATGAAAGCTATTATTTTTAATTCACCCACTTAGCTTTTTTGTTATGAAATCCTACTTTTGAGATGCACTCATCTAAAAACTTTTCATCAACTTTTAAAATACTATCTATTGTTAATCCGCCTGGAAGATTTTTTTTAAGATATTGCATTGTTGAGGAGGTGATTAAATCTTTTGTTTGTGAGGAGAGCATTAATGCTATTAAAGATTGAAATCTTGAAGTCTAAACAATAATAAATAATCCATATTAACCATTATCGATAAATAATAGATTACTATTATCACAGGATAATTTAGTAAATACTTGAGGTGTGATTTTTTCATTTGGACCATCTGCCAGTTTATTACAACCCATTGTATCAACAGGTGCTATGGTGTTTTTACGATATTCTTTGATGGATGAATATACAGTCTCCCAATTCAAAGGTGGATTATTGACCATAGAAAAAAGTTTATTGCCATCAACATTTCTCTTTTTCTTGGGTGATGATGTTATCGCAGAAGGATCATCAACATTATCAATTTCTATAGTGACATGTTTACGCGTTCTTTTTTCGGTTAGTTGACTTTTTATTACTTTTGATGGTGATAACTTCTTTTCCTCCTCTTCACCCTCCTCCTCTTCTGTTACTTTTGTTTTAGCAGTGATACTACTGCTGCTATTACTAAAATATTTGGAAGTTATACTTGTAGTTTCTTTTACTGGAGCAGAAGAAAAATTTTGGTTAGAGGAAATTGATTCCGATGATATTATTGCTTTGGTTGTTTTACTTCTTGTTTGTGGCATATTCGATAATAATATTTTGAAAGTAAAATTTCTCAGGACCATCAAAATTGTATGAATATGTCATGTGATTTTTATCGATTTTTATTGGTTAATTAAATACTATTCACGTACTAAAGCACATAAAATAGAAAATGAACATAATAATGTTCCAAAAACTTCAATCAATAGTAGTTGAATCGTAGTGATTGTTTGCAATCTCTAGTAATAGTTGATGTTGTTGAATACAAATGGATTTATTTTATTATTAATGATTTTATTTATTTATTTTACTTGTATCAGGAAATTTTTCCTGCCATAGTATTAAGCTTGTAAGTTTTAATATGTAATATTGTAATATTTGCATAAAAGTATATACTATTTGGAATATTATGGTGCCGTCATAAACTTATGTAAGTAGTGTAATAATTATGTAAATTCACACCAAGAAAAATTTACTGATGTGAAACTTTTATATTCAATACTCCTACTACGCACCTATCTACCTTCAAAGATGATTTTTCTTTGTGATTGGAAGGAAGTATTATTTTCAGGGTGCAAAAAGATATTTATAACGACGACAACTTCAATACAAACAACCCCAACAAAACAACTCCCAAACAAATGTTTAAGCGAGCATTTTGGAATATCTCGTTCATGAATAATGACAGTTTGTCAAAGTAAAGTATTTACCGTATAAAGTTGGATGAATTAATAAATCCATTTTTGATCAATCTATTCAATTTATCATCAACAACCATTTACTAGTTTCCAATACAACCGCTTTTCGATCAAAAAAAACAACACATCCAGTTGAGTCTGTTGCGTTTGACAAATCTCACAATGAGCAGTCATAGATTCAATGAATAAATGATATCATACAACCACTACAGCCATACTTATAATCAATGTCCTGATATTTTTAGGGAAGGATGAATTTTATGTGTTAGCACTAATGTTGCTTGACGAAATGTTATCAAGTTGTAAAACTATTACGTCAAATTCGCTGTCATCAAGTAATGACGTAAGTCAAAACACTCGATGTAAGTAAAATTGCTTCAAAGGCTAATAATAAAATATAGGAGGTCACAAAAAAAGCATATAAATATATATCCCAAGGTCTTCTCTTCAATTTTATATTTTTATATTTTCTCTTCTTGTTTCATCAGTTGTTCCCAAGAAGCTAAATTATTCTTTCGCTTAATACAAATTCGGTTCCCCACTACTAAACTCGCATTTCTTATATAACATGATACATGATCGGAGTAGATAAAATCATTGAGTGAATACTTTATGTTCCAGGGTCAGCTGATTTAGTGTAGACCTATACAACATTCAAGTGAAACTTTTACGGAAAAGTTTTTTATAATTATTATCAAATTATGGCCTTTAATTTTCTCATAATTCGCAACTTGAATAGGGAACAACTTCTGGACTTTGCTTGAAAAAGAAATAACTTTGGAAGAAAATATAATAGAACCTCTGTCATTATTTTTATTAAATAAAATTAATCTTTTAAAAATAAAAATAAAAATGCCTTTATTTACTTTGTTTAAAGCGCTTTTATAAAAGGAACAAGTTAGTAGTACCTTGGTAAAAGGTAACAATTGGTAAGAAGCCACGTTTTATTTGTTTTAGTGAGCAAGAAAGGTGAGGATTAACGCTGGTTAACTAGTGAGTGTTAACAACGTAATTTGCTTTAATGAGCAAGCAAGATTAGGACTAACGTTAGCTAACTATTGAATGTTAATGAAGTATTGTCTAAAGGTTAATCGGAAATATTGGTGGCATTATTATTATTGTAATCGTAAACGTGAGGCTGTTGAACAAGTTATTTAAGTTGTTTTGTAAATAAACAAAGCGAGTTTGCAGTCAGCCGATAAATATGAACAACGAGTGAATAAAAGGAACTTTATAGCTTTGTAAAAGGGCCATATTTATTCAGATGCAAGAAAGAGGCGGGAACCAAAGTAAACTCATAAATCAATTAGTTGACAAGCACGGGATTTATTGTGAGTTGCTTGCAATTAACTGACAAGAGTAGCCCAAAAGTTACACTGCAATCATCAATATCACAAATCAAAAGTTTATCATTCCAAAATATTATCATCATTTACAAATAAGGATAAAATAAAAAGATAACGAATAAATTTATAGTGGAAATTAAATTAATCATTCATCAATCTTTCTTCTTTTGCTATTATTACCAGAATCTAATTAATTAAAAAATATTGTTAGTAATTGATATTAATTCCAATTAATTAATAATGAAATTAATTTTTATTCACCTTTGTTAAAATCAAGATTATTTTTATTACTTGTATAACTTTTTAAGATTTTATATTTAGCAATATCTTCATCTAAGATTCTACTCGTATGATATGCACCTGGATGCGATTCGTGTACTTGTTGTGAATCATTACTACTACTAGTAATATTATTACTACTATTATCACTATTATTACCACTACTAGTAATATTATTACCACCACTACTACTAATACCCCCACTATCGCTACCACCACCACCATCACCACCACCACCACCACCACCACCACCACTACTGATATTATTATTTTTAAGAATTTCTTCATATTTATCATGAGCAAACACAACAAGCTCTCTGCTAGTTGGCCTTTTTGATGGATCCACATCCCAGCACTTCTGCATCATTTGCGCATAGTTGTCAGGAATTCCTGATAATATTGGTGGTCGTAAACCTGCACATATATCAACCATTGAGTGATGATTGTGAGCTCTATCATCAAATGGTGGGTGACCTGCAAATATTTCCCACATTAACATCCCAACACTATAGATATCAGATTCTTTTGTGTTCTTTTCACCATTAAATAACTCAGGTGCAATATATGACATAATTCCATAAACTTTATTTAATGACTTTTCATCAACTGGTCCACATAGTCCTAAATCTGTAATATAACAACCACCTCCTTGCAATAATAGATTACCACTATGTAAATCACAATGGATTAAATCTTTTTTATGTATATCATCTAATGCATTACATAAATCATTAAAGATTGTAATTCTGTCTTTTAATGTTAAATTATGATGATTTTTTTGTAAATAACTCCTTAAATTTCCTTTTGATAAATAACTTAAAACTATTGCATAATTTCCATTATCTGGGAATTTGGTTATGCCAAAGCAAGGAACAATCAGTGCTGCTTTAATTTTACAATAATTCACTGCCTGAAATAAATATAAAATCAATTAGTATTATATAATACAGTATTGTTTATTTTGTTTTAAATGATAACTACCAACCTCATCAAAGAAGCTTTTCCTTGGATTACTTGAATCATTTAAATTTTTTAACACTATATTTTGCTCTCCAAAATAACTGAATTCCTTTTTATTTTCATTGTAATCAATTATTCTTCCTCTTGTCCATGTAG